ATTTTTGCAACATATACATATAAATACCATCCATGTGCATTTATAGATATATTTGTGTGTGTATGTATGTGTGCATGTGTGTGTTAATGAAAATATCGTGTAAACTGACCTCGATTGTGGATAGCCTACTGAGTTGGTTACTTCTTCTCTCGAGCATCTGTCGATGCGAACTCCAAGCTCTTTCCCAGGCCTTCCATCGTGTCTCCAGTCCGGCCAGATGAAGCCGCAGCTCTGAGCGCATTCGTCTCACCGATCCCAAGGATAAGCCGACTTCAGTATCAGTCGGTTCGCTATCTGGTGCATACTCGAACAACTGCCAGACCGATTGCTGCTCCACAGAAGCGTCGGGTTTGGTGGCCTCACGCTCTCCGATGCCTCGGCCCAGTTTTCGCGCCTTCTCGCTGACACACAGCACCAGCTGATCAATCAAATCACGCTCAACCAGATGTTCGCGAAGCGATATTTCACAGTCACCAACGCGAACTGGGGCTGGACTCCGTGAGATTCGAGCCAGAGACGCGACCATCTTTTCATCCAACTGAAGCAATCGGGTCGGCGAAATAAAAGAATTCAAGGCGCGTAAACATGCTATTTCCGAAAGCACGGACACAGATTTAGTTAGTATCAGGCATTGCCTTGGCAGCCAAAGCACAGTAATTAGGGTTCACATCTAAATAAATCCTCAATACAACCCATCTATTGATATTAGTATATATCTATATAAATATATAGATATATACTTCCTGTTGGGTTATATTAAGCCCCTGTTTTAAATCAAACTTTTGCATCAATTAAATAGGAAAAATAGCGGTTATAGTAAATTATCTTTTTAGCCACTAAATTTCTAAACTTCGGTGTCAGCAGAGATAACATATTGTATCAAAGATATGAAGACCAAGATGGTGTGGCTCTCGGTATGGTTGCAGTCTCCCTTCAATTTATATAAGTAGATTGACCTCGTTTTCGCAACTGAGTATTGTTGTCAGGGCGAATTCGTTGAGCGCGGCTTGTCCGAAGTCCTCCGCCAAAGTAATAATCATAGTTCCCAGTATCCGATCGTGGACTTGGTACATTCTCAGACATTTCGCCGGCATCGCAGTTGGCAAGACCATGTTGAGAAAACGAGGTAAACCCACTTTTTTACGAATTGATAGTTAAGTTGTCCCACAATGTAATGAGTAAGCCTCACGATGTCATTACATTTCGCCTAGGCTTGAATCCCAAAAAGCTGTGTTCTCCCTGCTGGGCTGTAGTTACGAACTTGCATTATTTTCATCAGCAACAAAAACAGGGTTCGATGCCGGATCGTGGATAGCGTGACAAGGTTACCACTCTATCACATTGCCACCAGTACCATTACATCACAAGGTAGATGCAACCGACATTCAAAGCAAAACAGGCTCCTCCCAACACGTATTTACAGCGGGATTGTCGATAATCAAACATTTATTTTCAATTCCAATCGTCGACGTTACTTATTTTAAATATAAACAATTGTGGAGACTACTATTAATTCTTGAGTAGTAGATAGCCGCTTATATCGGAAAAAAGTAACGTCGTCGATTGCAATGGCAAACAATCTCACTATAAACATAAGGCTTAAGGGGCCTCGCTTGCCTTGAATGCTCATCTGCCCTGTTGCTGTGGCGTGGAGTGGCAAAAGTCGCCATGATACTCACGATAGGATATCGAATTCTGCCGGAGATTGCAATGAGATCTAGGCGAGGTCGAAAATGCAGTCCACTCTGAATAATATATCCTTTTGGGAGGCAAAGCCAAATGAAACAAAATGTCATCGTGAGGTATACTCATCTGATTGTTGGAAAACTCTATTATCTATCCTCAAATCATATAACAATATGTCAATAAACTCAACATCAGCAGGCTTTTACCCTTCTTGATGAATCAGATAGTTCAAGCCATTGTTCGTGCATCTGCCGATATTGTTCATTTGCTCCCTCAAAGACTGTCCAGCGATCGCGCAGTTGATCAAGACGATCCGCATTCAGCCTAATTAGGACTTGACACTGTTGAACGGTCTCTTCAGAAGCGATATTAGGTTCTTCGCCAGCTGTCACCTGGAAACCCAAGCAAATGGAATGCAACATTTTACGGATATTACAAATAAATCTTGACAATGCTTATCATGAAGTTATGTATGGCAAATACAAAAATGACTAATACTACTTTTATGAATAAATTAGCCTGCTTCAATTTAGAAGGTTTCATGGTGTTAAACTAAGGCTGAGCTTGTGGTTATTCCTGGGAGAAATTGTGCAAAATCAGATTCCTTGAAAACAGTAAGACCTCTCTTGGATGAATCGAGGATGTGCCGAAATTGTCGGACCAGCCGCTTGATCTATTCCTGTGCTTGGTAATCCTCTCTGCATCCACGAAAATTGGTAGAATCCTAAATGCTCTTTGTTCAATTAGTCTCACATATCCTTCCAGATTGGAGTCCAAAAGTTCGGTTTATCCGAGCCGACAGAGGTTAATTATTTATGAGACAACTCTTGTAACTTGAGGCCTCCTAAATGCTCTCCGTCCAGTGAGTATAAAAAGGATGAAACAAAGCATTCGCCAAAGCTTTTGCGTTGGTTTATTTGTCTTTAAAAGAGCCGATAAGAGGATGGCGAAAAGCTTGACTTCGGAGACCGATTTTATAACTTAACTTATTCCATCTTTTTCCGTAGGAGAATTATGATAAAATGGCTCTATCGTAAACCAAAATGGTATCGCTTTCAAGACGGGGCCATTGATAGGTACAGAGATGTGCTTGGCGCATTATCCAACTGCCTCATTGAATCCGTGTCGGCAAATTTTGTTACAAAATGGTCTTTCACGTTTTGGATGATTCGGTCTCATTGAACGACATGTCAAAATAGACACTCTCAACTCCAAGACAATCATAGCTTGATTTCCGGTAAGGCCAATTTCCGGATGCTTCTAGGGCAATTTTTGAAAAAAAATCAAAATTCGAACGAAAAAATATAGTTATAAGACAGCTGAAAATATCATCTTTATTCTATTCCTTGGACTGAATGTTTAACGACAAGCCGATATTTAATATGAGTATATTTTAAAACCCTCAGGAATACTTTAATAATAACATGGTAACCAAATGTCACCTAAAGACTGATAGTGGATTTTTCACACAATGTTAGGCCCCGAATCTCCCCATCCCCATTTACGACATGATTTTTGCTGAAATAAATGGTACTTTTCTCAATTTTGTTTCCCAATTCAACGCGAAAATGGGTAAAAGGAGAAAGAGTGCTTCCACTCACCTTGTCTATCAGCTGCCGCGCCATGTCTTGGCGATCCTCAAGGAAACCGCGCAAGGAAAGCAACTCCTGACGGACATGGTCAAGTTCTCCGGTCGCCAAGAGGCTCTCGTGAAACAGTGGCCTTCCGGCCCCTCGAAATGGATCCAGAATGACAGGATCAGTGTCAGACAGGCGGTCAAGCATTGAATGAAATTGGTAATCATCTGTGCTGGCTCGCTGGAGCAAAGTGGAGAACTGTCCGGACAGATCCAGACGAATTTGAATAGCACGACGATATTTTGCCCATTGTGAGCTCAAATCAGAAATGCGGGCCTGTCAAGGATAGGAAGTAAAAAGTGTACCAAATAGGCTCATTATACCACGCATCAGATACTGAAAAGCAGATTCGCTTTAGAAGCGACAAACTTCTCTATCGGCATGGAACTTCTCTTAAATTCATTTTAATCGTAATGCATTTCGGTTCAGATCAGGAGATAAAAAAAGTGACAAATTGAGTGCACGGAATTTCAAAGATAGTTCACATGTGCGTTACAAATGTTATGTCAGGAATCAGAAATCATTGAATAAAATAAGAGCTTATCCCAACTTCAACTGAGCCCATCGAGCTTTCTGATCAAGACGCGAATTCCGACAATCATCTTTATGCATAGGATAGTATATCAACTACAAGAGGGGATAGCTAAACATTGCATGTGTAAATGCGATTTGAGAATTTCATGATGTAGGATAACAAATTAGGCGAATTTTGAGCTCAGACCCGAAGCAACGCGTACTTGTGCCTACCGATTGTCCACAAGAAAATAAAAAGAAACCATTTCAAAATGCTTATTCGCAACACAATGAGTAAAAACCAAGCTCTAGGTGCACCTCTTGCCCTTAAATCGCAACCTCATCTACGAATTGATGAAAGAAATCGCCACCAGACTGGCGATCCTCTTCTTCTAGCCTCTCGTTCATTCATTTTCAGATATTCCAGCGTCAGAATGATTAGCAGCTTGGTTACCTCTGTTCGCTTTTTCTCGAAGTTTCCATATCTCCATGTTGCATCCTCAAGTCATCCGCAGCCTTTCTACTTCAGCCTTATTCCACATGCTTGCAAATGAGTGACGTTTACTTACCGAACCGGAAATGTGTACAGTGGCAGCTGTTTCATCAGACAGAAAAATTAGCCTACACCCTCCTAATTATGAATCATGTTTGGGCCTGTACTATTGTCTATTGTGTGTTTGTAATGCTCATGACATGGAAATCTAGACACGAGGTTACTCCAGCCTCCTTCTCTTGCTCAGTGGCTCTTCCTGCACCCCGTCTTACTCCCTTTCCCTAGGTCTATCCAAAAGCCACAAAAAGTTCCCGATATTTTTATGCACCCATTCCTTCTATTCAAGACGTTGGCTGATTTGTTAATTTCTGTAGACTCCCTAATCTTACGCTTTGACGTGAAATCCCTGTAACCCGCAAAACGTTGTATTTTGGACCAGTCTATTGGGTTTCCTGTATTGGCAAAATGTGCTCAGCGAGCTCAGCTTTTTGGACCCACAAACCTTTACAAGCGATTTTGTGCCCGCATAGTCTCTTACGAATGGGTAGGCAGGTCTCCCTCACATAGACCATATCACATGAGCACAACCTTGTAACAACCTGATCTAGAAAGAAGGTATGAATATTCTCTAAGCGAAGGAACCACTGAAGAAAGTGTTAATTTTTCTTTGTACACTGTTTTTATATTC